GTGTGCATACATGTGTGTGCATGCATGAGTGTGTGTGTGCATGTGTGCTTGTATTCTGCTTCCAAGAATGAACACTTCTTCTGGAGCAAGTGCAGAAAACACAGGATGGTCATGGCATGAAGACATGGGACTCAAGAGACAGCCTCCGATGGTGTGGGATTTCTGAGTGCTATTTTGTTGACAGAAGGACTCAGAGCATTGGCTCTTGTGATGCTAAGCTGTATCAATTAAAGCTTAGAAGTAAAACATGATAAACTCTGTGTAACTGTGCTTTGGAAGGGTGATCTTCAGCTGGAGCTCATAGGATGGTCTCTTCCATAGTCTGTATCTGCTCTTCTAACATCTGTGTTATTCTTTCTGAAAGGTTCGGCACGGTAAAGAAAAGGAGAGCCAGGCTACATTTCTGTTGTTGTTCCTTTTCCACGGGTGTCTTGGTATTCTGGATTCTTTCTGGGCTTGGAATCTATCACAAGGAGACCTTCACGCTGTAATGAATAGTAGCCTAGATTTAGCCCCAGGTACCAGCTTCCATGGTTCCGTTGTGTGCTGAGAAATGGTGGGTCAGCATTTCAGATGCAGCAAGAGTTACATATACACACTACTGTAACAGGGTGGTCCCCAGGAAAGGGGGAGGTTCCCTGCCCCACCCAAGCGAGGGTGGAGCTGAGCAGGGAGAGGAGAAGCTGCAGAAGAGACTGAGGAAGGAAGCAGGATGGAGCCAGAAGGAGACCTGGAGGAGGCGCATGGAGCCTAGAGACACGTGAAGAAACTGCGCTTGTCTTTTGGTCGTGGACTGGGTGACACAGATGTGGGTGAGACCCGTGGGGAGGTGACAATGGCGGCTTTTATCTTGATGTTGATTTTGCTCTTTTCCTTCCGGGCTTGTCCGGTTGTTTCTGGCCCTTTTCTGTGGGTCCCCACTGGAAGATGCTTTAGACTTGGGGAAGGCTTTGGGGCCTTGTTCTGGGCCAGTCCGATTTGGATGGGCTTTTACCCACGAGGGGATGGGTAACTGTGGGTGCTTCATTTAGAAACTAGACTCTTTGCCTTACCTGTGTTGTTTCCTAGTTTAATTAAAGTTCCTTCCCATTAAAGTCTCCTATGTTTTGTGTTGATGCGGGGGATGGCAGAACCCATTTAGAATAGGCAGGTTTGCGGGGTTTGGGCTGCCCCTCTCCCTGTCCTATAACACTACTACTCCTTGCAGTAGTATTTCAAGTACACCTTTGCAAGGTAGAATAATAATGACATTTTGCTGCTGTGCTTGTACGTTAATGTAAATTACTGAGTTTTGTTTCACTTTGTAATATGCTTGAATTAAACATTGCCCTGTGAACAAAGAACACCTAAGCTAGCCGTTGATGCTTTCCATTTATGTAGGATTTCCATTTTCCCATTTTGAATTAAAATATTTAATCTTCGACATCTTTATTAATGTAGATACAAGTCCTTTAGAATTTATAAAGATCGTTACAGCTAGCATTTAAGGGAACAGAATAGGATTTGAAGGGGTCTCCCCAAACTGTGAACCATCAGCAATATCTGAGTAGAAGTTCTAAGAATAAGCATTGATACCTTGTTTTACATTTGCTCATATAAGTAGTGGATCAGTGAAGTGTTTTTTTCCCCTTTAAAATCAGGTGCCTCTCTTTTTCCTAATGAATCTGTCCTTTAAAATGTAAAAAAAAAAAAAAAAAAAAAGGCCTCTCTGGTGGCGCAGCAGTTGAGCGCTGGGTTGCGAGGCTGCCCATGGCCTCTGCAGTGCAGGTTCAATCCCCGGCTGCTCCCCGGCCACCAGAGGAGGGTCCCACATGGCGCGCAGACCTCTCCTGCCGCCCGCTGCTCCCCTCAGCAGTGTCCTTCAGTCCGTCTGCCTGCTCTGCTCCCCGCTCTGGCTCTGGTGGATTCTCTCACCCTCCCGCGCTTCTGACTTACCCAGTGCTTGTATAAATAAATAAATAAAACCTTTAAAAAATAATAAAATGTAAAAAAAAATCATTTCAAAAGTATCATAAGATTCCTCAATGATTATATCCAAAAGCCTTACATTCTTCCACAGGTTGTTGCCAATCACTAGTAACTGGTAAATCCATTATCCAAATTGTCTACCCCAGATGATGTATTCCTGGATTAATAATAGGGAATGCTAGAAAGTGAAAGGTTCGGCGCGGTGAAGAAAAGGAGAGCCAGGCTACATTTCTCAAAGGGAGGGAAAGTTTATTGTGCCCCGGGCGGACCTCAGGCACCCAAGGTGGGGGTCAGTGGAGTCGCGCACGTTGTTAGGGGGAAGCAGGGTTTTATAGGGTGAGGAGAGGTCAGGTGGGTAGTTGGGCTCCTAAGGCAGGAAAAGTTTGTAGGGCAGATAGAGGTTCTTTGTCTGAGATGAGACTCCTAGGGGGAGGGGGGAGGCTCATTGTCTGAGTCCTCCAGGCAGGTATCCACATTCCTGGCCCCCAGGTGGGCTTCCTGGTTGGCTCCTGCATTCCGGCCCCCTGCATGGACCTTTCAATGAGAACTTGCCAAAAGGATCAGCTTTGATGAAAAATGAGACAATATTGGGTACTCAGGTCACAAAATTATCACATGTTAAAAATAAAAGTCCCAAGCTTCTAGAAATCAAATTATTCCTTTCACTCCTCTCCCTACTTCCCTAAAGAATTATCCAACTGAAATTGACAATAGCATCAAGGTTAAGAAACGCTAATCTGGGGCATCTCTGGTGGCACAAGGGGTTAAGATTCAACCTATGAAGCTGTTTGCAGCCCACCCCCCACAGGAAGCTACCCACATGGCACAGCAGGCCTCTCCTGTCTCCCTGCTGCTCCCCTCAGCAGTGGATTTCAATAGATCTGCCTGTTCTGCTCCCCACTCTGTCTCTGTGAATCCTCTCATTCCCCACACCTCTGGCCTATGCCCTAATTCTTGTATGCATAAATAAATAAATCTTTTTAAAAATGCTAATCTAAACGAAAGGAAGATTGGCTGTTTTAGACAGTACAGAAGGAGACCTCTTGGAGAAAGTGAGAGTTAAGTGAAAATGCAAAGGATGGATAACATTAAAAATATATATAGCATAATGAGCTTGTATGTCTAAGGAATAAGACTGTGCAAGGCCTCAGCTCTGCTAGAGATTCTGAATTAAGTCTAACAGGAATTAGAATCCTTTGAAGAGATCAAAGAGAGAATGAATATGATTAATCACACACTAAAGGATCACAGTGTAGAGTGTGGTCATAATGTTACAAGCGATAGAACAAAGATACAGTTTATCTTACTAAATTGTGATAAATGCATGTTGTTGTCACTCAGTGGTAGTAATAGAGATGAAACAAAGTGGAAAATATTTATAAATATTTATCAAGTAAACTTGGCATGATTTAACAATGGGTTTGGATGTGCTTAGGGAGATGAAACCAAAAATGACTACCAGTTTCTATACATAAAAAAATGAGTTAAAAAGGAAAGGCAGCAATCCGAGCCTAGTTTTGAATTGGGTGACATTGGGGATGGAGAGATGAACTGGGGGCGTGTTATCTTTGCAACGCTTGTTAGACAAACAAGGGGAATATTGAGGAAACAGTGCCAAATACTAGACAGAAACTCACAAAAGAAATCTGCCCCAGAGAGACTTCCAGAATATAAATGTTGTGTTTTCAATGTAAGCATGGATATGATCACCCAGGATGAGATCAGAAGGAAGGGGCGTCATGTTTATAATGGAGCCCTTAGGGTCTGCAGCACCTGCAGTCTGTGGAAGGAAGAAAGAAATGGAGAAATTTAGGACAGAGAGGCAGCATCCAGGTGACCATTGTCGCCAAAGAAACCAAGCAAAGGAAGTTTCAAGAAGGTGGGAATGGTGTCAAGGAGCGAAAAATCAAACTCACTCCTCTTAAGCTAAAAAAGGATGCATTGCCTTTGAAAATAGTTTTGTTGATAGCAACTTTGACATGTAAAGTTTGGTCACAAGGACAGAAACTAGACATGATTGAATGATTGAATGAATGATTTAAAAAAAACTAGAAAATAGACATCAAGGAATTTTAATCAATTTGCTTTAAGGTGAGCAGTGAAAATGGAACCTTGTTAGGAAAACAATTTGATCTCAAAAGAAAATTACTGAGTGATGTTCTGCTTTGTTTTGTCATTGTTTTTATTCACTTAAATTATATTTATTTTTTGAAGCTTAATTGAGATGTAACATTGTGTTAGTTTCAGGCATAACTACATAAAGATTCAATAATTGTATATGTTACAATATGGCCACCACAGTAATTCCAGTTAATCCATCACCACAGGTAGTTACAACAGTATTTCTTGTGATGAGAACTTTTAGGATCTACTTACTTAGCAGCAATCAAATATGCAAAACAGTGTTATGAGCTACAGCTGCCAGAATGTCCTTTACATCCAAAGACTTACCTAGTTTATAAATGGAAGGTTTTGCCTTTTGATGCCATTTTATCTTCTCCGTACTCCCTGCCTCTGGTAACCACTAGTCAGTCCTCTCTATCCATGAGCTTGGTTTGGATTTTTGTGTTTTGTTTGTTTGTTTAGGTTTCACATATTTGAGATCATATGACATTTATATTTTCCTGTCGGTCCTGTTTTACTTATCATAACACACTCAAGGCCCACTCATGATGTCGCACATGGCCAATTTCCCTCTTTTTATGGCTGAGTAATATTCCATCATGACTGTTTTTTCATCCACTCATCCTTCCATGAATATTTTAGAGGCAGAAGGCAGAAGGGTAATGGCTAGGAGTTGTGGGCAGGGGTAAATGGGCTATGGCAATTAAAGAGATGGAAATCTCCAGTGACCTAATATGAATAAATTGTAGAAATCTCATATACAATAATGCACCTACAGTTATCTCTCTCTGTGCACTGAACAATACATTAGGAGAGTAGATCTCATGTTGTGTATTTTACCAAAATAAAAATAAATAAAACAAAATGGGAACCATTAATAGAAGACAAACTCATACCTGCAAACTCACCTCTTGGGCTTCAGCCTGGATTCTGGAGCAAGGTCAGTCTCTGTTCTTAACTAACAATCAGATTAAGGGCTAGAGAATTTGAATGACTTTCCCCAAGTGGTAGAATTACTTCGGTAATGATGTGAACTGGGAGGATCTTCCAGCTCATCTCATCCCATTTGCCTGCATGACAAGACTTTGCTGATTGCCGGGTGCTTCCAGCACCTTCTCTGCACAACCCTGCCCCTCCTGGGTGCCTAGGTCACTGTTACATAACAATGCCCAAGAGGTTGCCAGTTTCATTAATTCCTTCCTCTTTAACTCAGTGTAGGTGCTTTCACAGCTCTCTAAACTTCACTCATACACCTGCCCAAATTATGATTGCACACTTTATTGAGTAATTAATTGTTTATTTCCTGTCTTGAGTACTAAACAACTAATTAATTACAATAATGTAACTGCATGAGGACTGTTGGCATCATCCTGAGGACCTAGATTTGTGCTTGTTTATAGGTGGGACTACACCACAGATATATTTTTAAATGAAGTGGATTAAATTTTATTCCCAAATAATGAACCAAGCTATATTATTAATTGGAATTCTGCATTAGGATTATCCTTCTAACTTAGCAATTCCCTGCGATGGTTGATAATGGACATAATCTTCATGAGTAAAATTTCTGAACACTGCTTTACTCTCTAGAATATGGTGTTTGCCTTCAAAAGACACTTTAGGTTAAATTACAGACTAGAAAAAAACAAAACAAAACTATGGTTTAAAAATTAGTACTTTAAAAATTTTTCCAACCATGTATGTGAGTACACATAATTTTCCTTACAAGCATGCAGTTTCCTTTCTCAATACATTTAATCACTTAATTGACCATGATTATCTATAAAAGCTCATCCTTCACAAGGTGATTGGCAACTATAAATTAATTGTATAGATCACCAACTCTTTATAGTATCATCAGTAATTAAACTTCCCTCTCTCATCTTCCTAAGTCAAAGATACAATACAGAAATATGTAATAGACATTATCAAATAGAATCCATCTTGGTTTTGGAGTGTTTTGTCTTTTCTTCTTTCATCTGCATGTCTGCAGGAGCATATTCTTTGTTTAATTATGAGAAGCCCAGACTGACCTGAGCTGCCAGCTGGTTTTGGCTTTGATCAGCAAGGACAGAATGTGCGATTCAAGCCAAGCACTGGCCTTGGTTTCTTCATACGTAAAAGGAGTTGCTGTGATGAACCAATGAGGAAAAACACATAAAGCACCAGAATAGGATCTAGCAAACTAAAATGGAGTTATTTTTGTGTAGAATAAAATTTCCTTCCCCCAAAAGCACATCTCTGTAAGCTTTGCTTTGTGCAGTGTCCAACAATTTGCTATCATTTATTAATGTGATATTGTAATAGCCTCTTGTATTATTATAATATTTTTCAGTGTCAGCCACAGTATTATTGTTACATAAGATAAAGCAATAAACTTACATAACTCGAGTTTTCAAATATCTTCAATAATAACACATTTCTTCTTCATTGAAATTTAAATATCCAGAGATCCTTGGCCATCAGCACTAAAATTGGAGTCTGCTTTATTGTCCCATTATTTGACAGATAATGTCTACCTACAGCGTACTATCTTTTCTTATAGCATACACTCTTTTGTAGATAATCAGTGAATTTCAATGAGAATTTTAATAAGTCCTACGTATTGTATTAGATTTGCTTTTGCTAGGTGTTTACCATGCCCCACGAGAGGTCTGGGAAGAAAATATGTGAATAGATTCTTCTTTCTTATACTTCAGAATTCAAGACATATTGTGCATTTGATTCATCATTGCTGTTTTCAGGTGCAGTACTTTTATACTAATATTCTCTAACCCTTTTGTTGACAGGTTCTAACTTGCTCTTATCAGCCAGAGATCTGATTGAGATTGATAACTTCTTGAATGATCAATTTGTTAGATAAAAAATGTGATTGAAAGAATCTTGTGATACAGCATCCCAAAAGATCTGGTCACATAGCTTTATAAATGTATGCTATTTAAATTTTAGTATTAACATTAAGTTTTATAGTTCAGGGTCTTATAGTAAACATCATTTAACATATATCATAACATTATTGAAGGGATAACAAAAGTGTGCTCCCATAAAAGCTATGTGAGATAAATGTATAAAGATTATCATTTCTCTTGAGAATTATTGGACTGTTATTATGACAAAATGAGGTGAAACAAAACAGAGGATGTTTACATATAAATGGAAACTAATTTTTGTTTGCATAAATTTAAAAATACATATTTTAATAGTCCTTAAATGCTAAAGAAATTCATCATAAACTAGTATAATTTTAGATATGAATTTTAAAGGTTGGGTCCAGTAAACAATAAGAAAACCAAGAGAGAAAATAACACCAATGAGAAGAAATCAAAGAAAACAAAATTGGACTTTCTGCTTTAAAGGGTTGTGGGAGCCAAACAGATTTTTAAAGTCATCAGGGGCAAACATTTATTTCATGTGTAATAGATCTTAATCAAAAAGCATCGTGAGATGAATCTGAATTTCTAAATTTTCTCTATTTTTGCCCTTGTTTTGCTGACATTCTTAGAAAGTTGAAAATGGCTAGCACATTGACCAGATGATGGAAACAGCGTCAGCAGATCATGGTTTGACTCAAGAACTTGGCAGAACCTTTCATTTCTTCACTAGTGAAGACACTGATATGTGGTTAATGTTGAGACAGTAACAAAACATTGCAGTTGCTCCTTTTATAAAGTTAGTAACTGGAGGAGGGAAAAGCGATAATGCAAAATATGATGAATTTGATAAATGGTGCTTTTAGCCCAGTTTGCTCTTTACAATGAGGTTATCTGTCATGGGTATTGAACCATATGCAAATGCAGGGCTTTGGCTAGTACATTGTTGTCCATGACATAAAGCTCCTAATGGATGAGGAAATAAGTGCTTCAGCAAAACCATGTCCCTAGTTATTATCTATGTATGTATCAGTGTGTCCTTGAAACTGTACGACTTTGTATCTCTTTCGACTAAAGAGGAAAAGCAATGATAGACATTAAAAATATAACCACACTTAGGAATTGTAGACATTCTCAAGAAGACAAGCATATTGACACATGAAAGTCATCACACTGGAAATACGATTGGTCTGGATTCCCTTTAGTCACTTTAAAAATTAAATAAGACCATGCCTTTGAGTAGAAAGTGCAGTATTACTGATTTATACCTATTCCATGAGAAATTACACAATATTCAAGTCATAAACCAGCTTTGCTGTACCCAGAATGCAAATGCCAACAAGAAGCACATTTACTCATAATCGCATCGTAAGTCATGGGCTATTGTATCTACCAAATAGAGAGAGCAATCCTCATAAGTTGCCATTGCTTATACTCACAAGAAAACATAAGATGCATGATCATTTTACCCCCTTTAATATTTTCTATGGATCCCCAAATCTAATAAGAATTTGTTGACTTCATTAGCATGATATTTACAAACCCTTTCAAATCGGCCATAATCATCCTTCTCAGGCTTATATCTTATGCTCCCTGGGCTCAGAGGCACAGTCAATTATACAGAAGCAGTGCCTCCCCCAACAGCCTGTTCTCTGGCATGGTGTAGGTTAGGGATGCCCCTCACTCACATCATCCATCAGTTGTTTATACCTAATTCAATTTCAAGGGTTTTGTTAATTGTATTCTCTTTATTTTTTTTTGGAAAGATTTATTTATTTTTATACAAGAGCTGGGTTATAGGCCAGAGGCACGGGAGGGTGAGAGGATTCACCAGAGACAGAGTGGGGAGCAGAACAGGCAGACTGACTGAAATACACTGCTGAGGGGAGCAGCAGGCGAGGCAGGAGAGGTTTGCCACGCTATGTGGGTTTCTCCATGGCGGGCCAGGAATCAAACCCGCACTGAACAGGCTGCGGACAGCTTCACAGCGTGGCGCCCAACCCGCTGCACCACTGGGGAGGCCTGTTAATTGTATTCTAATCCTTACCAATGAAAAGAAACAGACTTCTTTTTCCATTACTTGTGTGTTTGTTTTCTGCATAAAATTTGAGTTATAAAAAACTTTGCCAAGTTGGTTTAATCAAAAAAGAAAAACAGGGCCTCCCTGGTGGCAAAAGGGGTTAAAACGCAACCTATGAAGCGCAATGCAGCCACTGCAGCCCGAGTTCGAGCCCAGGCCAAGGAGCTACCCACATGGCACGGCAGAACTCTCCTGACTCGCCCGCTGCTCCCCTCAGCAGTGTATTTCAGTCAGTCAGCCTGTTCTGTTCCCCACTCTGTCTCCAGTGAATCTTCTCACCCCACACATCTCTGCCTGTACCCCAGCTCTTGTATGTATAAATAAATAAATCTTTTTAAAACATGAACAGAAGGGCACTGGGAGGCTGAAGTTGGATCTCCTCAGTTCTCAATAGGGGCTGACAGATCTCTTGTTCTCTCACTCTCTGTCTCCATATGGCACATTGTCCGTAAAACATTCTGCCTTTTTCTATGGTCTACATTCCTGAAAGCCAGTTTCCTTTAGGTCCCTGAGCACACAGCTAACCACAGCCTTTGTGGACATTCAAAACTTTCTAATCTATAAGCTCATAATAGACAAGCAAAGGTCCCTAGGTCTAAAATACATTTCACAAGAACAAGAATCCAAATAATTCTGTTTGGTCAAAAAGCTTCAGCCAGGGGAGTTTGTATCTCCATGCACATTTAGCTTCATCCTTTGAATCAAACTTTTGCAAAAACACGTTTGGAAAAAACATATTGAAATTTTTCAATACACTTTCTGTTAAAATTGTAGTTCTTAATGCATCCTATGTAAGTCAGATATCTTCCCCTGATAAACTGCGAGCCATGTGAAAAATTGGATCATAACTTATTCTCTTTTTGCCCAGAGCAAGCTTGGAGTAAGTTATCAAGAAATGATAAATGAATTAGAATGAATGCAAAGTGTTGCCCCTGAAGATTACGTCAACCAATGTAACATCATGAGAACTTGCTAGACTTGTTTTGCAAAGGTGACTTGTGACTTTTACTTGTCTTTCAACTATCTGAATAAATATAAATGTAAAATAAGGCACCGAAGCTTGGAGAAACTACACAAGGTTATAAGGGGAGCTGAAACTAGGCTCTAGGATATTTCATTTCAAGACTCAGAGAGTCACTGAATTTCATTTATGTTAA